CCCAGGCAGGCGCGCTTCCCTGCGGAGACAGCAACCCACGGCATCCTCAGACTGAGCTTTTGCTGCTGGAAATGCTTCTGCCTTCCCTCAGGACCATGGTCCCTGATCTCTTCCCAGGATGAGTTTTGCAGCCCCAACTGAGAAGGTGTGTGATGCTGGCATGGGAAACAGGGTGCTAAAAGCCACCTCCCCAGGGAAGCTGCTGGCTGGGGTAGCCTGGGGTGACAATAGTGAGGCCCCAGTGAACTCAGCCATGTGGGAGCAGGAGCACAGAGCGATGCTTCTGCCCTGGTGAAGGTGTTCCTGGGGTCCCTGGAATTATCAGGGATTTTTATTCATCCTCATCTCTCTTCTCTGCATTTAAAAAGAGAGACAAGAAAGGGCTCTGAGGGTCGTTGTGGTGCTTTGGGATAACCATGTGGCCACTGTGTGAGCGGCACCTCCATCACTATATTCCTCTCTATCTCCGTCATGCAGTTGGAAACCCAAGACCACTGCATCAGCACAATTCAGCAAATCTTACCCACAGAAAATGCCACAAACGATTCTCTTTTCCAGAACTTCCCGTCCTTCAGGAAATGCCCAGGGTTAAAAGTGTCAGGGGTTTCCCACTCATTCTTGTCAAACATCACAGAGGTTATATTTGTCAACAACATAGTGCCCTAAGAGGAGAAAAAGAAAAATAATTCATATTTTCTCTTGCACTGACAGCAGGAGGGGCAGTTTTATCTTCCAGTCTCTCCACGAAGAACATGCAGAGTCAAATTCTACTGCAATTATTTGTCTAACAACCACTGCAGGTCCAGCGTCCCTTTGGAGGTGCAGTGATTATAGAACCACGTTTTCCCCTCATCAGCATCACTTTTGTCTGCTGTAATCTTGGGCCAGAGTTCCTGTAAGAGCCCTGTGAGCTGGGATCTGTACCTCAAAGGTGTGCCCAGAGGGTGTGGGATCGTGCAGGGCTCTGCACCCTTTGGGGAGCTGGAGAATATTGGTTGGTTGGATGGCAAAAGTCCACACTGAGCACGAGTGAACTCTGGACAGGGCAGGGACAGTGTGTCTGTGTAGGAGGGACCTGACCTGGTGAATTGTGCCTGGGGAGCTGGGAGTCTCCCTGAGGTCCCAGTGCTCAGGGTGAGCTTACCTTTGGGATGAAGAAGCCATCCAGCATTGTGTCCTTTGCTGCCATTCTTGGCACGTTGAAAGGGACAATGTTTGCTTTCCTCTGCACCTCATGGATGACAGCGTTGGTGTAGGGCATGATGTTCCTGTCCTCCAGCACTGGCTGCCGAGCCTGTCCGATGACGGCATCGATCTCGGCTTGCACACGGGCTGGTGGGGAAGAGCAGGAATCAGCCAAGGCCCAAGGACAAAAACCCTTGGAACAACACAAGGTTGTTGCTGTGAGAGTCCCCTAAGGACTAACCTGGAATACCTGCCACTGTTTGCACCTCTTTTGTGTGAGTGCAGGGAGATTCCCAACTTTTCTCTCAAGAAAAGCATCTCTCACAAAGTTGAGAGGGATAAAAGGAAGGGAAACCCTGACCATTTGCTATTTGTACCTTGAATTTCTGGATGTAAGGCCATGAACAGCAGAGCCCAGCGGAGGGTCGTGGAAGTGGTCTCGGTTCCAGCGAACATCAGGTCGAGGGTGCAGGCGACGAGATGTTCCTCCCGGAAGGTGTCACTGCCCTTGTCCTTCACAAAAAGGTGTGTTAGTGCTGCAGGAACTGTGAGGGCTGTCCTGACACCAGGCTTAGTCCAAACCACACAAGACTTTGGGCAGGAGCTGCTGGCCCCCTGCCATCCCATCCCACTGATGGGTGTCCTGAGCCTGATGTGCATCCTAAGCTCCTAAATGGCCACACAGGCAGCTCAGCTGGAGAATGTGGCTCATTTCTTGTCCCTCCTCATTTCTAAGCCCTGCTGCAGAAGGCTTTGCTCTGCATTGCTGACCTTGGCTATCTCCTGCAGGTAGCTGTCGATGTAGTCCCGGCTCTCTGAGGGGTTCCAATCCTCCTTGTGCTTGTTGATCTGCTCTTGCATGTAGCTTTTCAACAACTTCGAGTTTTTAAAAATCGTTTGGTGTGCTCCAGGGAGGAACTTCATTATAGATGGGAAAGAGTTGTACAGCTTTGGACACAAAAGGAGAAAGAAAAATTGAATAAAGGACTGAAAACCCCTTCAAAACCCCAAAAATTGAGGATCCTGCAATGCTGTGCTTGCTGAAGTGCTGGAGTTGGTGGAAAGAGCTCAGCTCCAGAAGAGCAGGAATCCCTCATGAAGGAAGGACTTGTGTGTTGCCAGGTATTAGAGCAGGCAGGTTGGCAGTCAATGGGCAGGAGAAGTGATGTTGAGTGAGAGAAAGCAGCATGAGCAAGGCCCAGCTTGAAAGTAAGGCAGAAAGAAATTACAGGCCTGTGCAAAGCAATAGGCAAAGACAGGTTTGGTGATGACAACACTGAGCTCTGAGGTTGACTCCAGAGAAGAAACTATGGCTGTGGGGTTGGTGGCAGGAGGGCTGTACCTGGGCTGTGATGGCTCCCTGGAGGAGAAGTGTCTCATTCATCAGCTTTAGCAATTTTTGGAAGTCCTCATCATGGTAGTCAAACCGATTGCCAAAGATAAGAGAGCAGATGACATTTGAAACAGCGTTAGTGAGTGTAAACTGAGGGTTGAAAGGATTCCCTGGAGAAGGAAAAGATCAATTCTCTTCTGGTCTTCTCAGAAAAGGAGAAGAAAACACACTTGGTAAAGGTAAAATAGTCAACAAATACAAATGAAATGAGTGGTCCCAGTGACCCTCCTGTGTCACTGCTTTGCTTGGACACCTCACTGCCCCCAAGAGCTGGCCAAGCTTGTCTGGGAAACCCAAGTAGTCCCAGTTCTATCCGATTATTGAGATGTTTGCTTCCTTTGAAAAGCAAGATCTGCAGGAGTGGGATGTCTTTGGAATACATTGGAAATATCATTGTTTCTGTCACTGGAATTCCTTGGGAACATCAGTTTTATACACACATGGTATTTCCCAGAGATCTGAGAGAGAGCAGGAGGCTGAAGGTGGGCTATGAATAATGCATAGGGTGTTACCTGCCTGCACTCTCCAGTCACTCTGAAGGCCAAACCCCTGCAGGAGGGAGCAGGGATGCTGGTGGGGCTGCAGCATTCCTTGTAAGGTGAGGTATTTTTCAGTGTGCAGTGAACCATGGGTGAAATGATACCAGGCTGTACCAGGTCCTGCCTTCAGCACAGCTGCTGAGGGAGGCACATGGCACTCACCCTGCTCATCCTTAAAGGCATCCATGAGGAATCGGCACTCCTCCTGGATGCGCTCCTCCACGCTCCTCTTCCCCAAGCCAAAGTTTCGGAGGGTGCTCAGAGTGAACCTCCTCTGTGCCTTCCACAAGTGTCCACTGGAGGAGATCAGTCCTGGCAGAAACAGCCCCCCGTGAGCCAAGGCTGATCCCCCACTGGGGGGAAAAGCTCCAGGGCTCTGCCTTCTCCCCAGCGGTCTCAGACCTCTGCAGGGTTGTCACTTGGGCCTTGCAGCTCAGGTGCATGTTCGGAGGGATCACTCACCTGTCTTGCTGAACATATCCATTGGAATTTCTGGGCGATCCAAAAAGTTATCCCCTTGGTTTACAAGCACTTCCTTAACCAGCCGCATCCCATTTACTACCACAAGCTTCATGCTGCCCATGGACATGCCGAAGATGTCACCATATTTTTTAGTGTACTGGGAGGGGAAATAATAAAGGGAGTTTCATTTGAAGCGATTGTGTCTTTTGGGACAGGGACAGCCCCGTCAGGGTGTACAGGTGAAAATAAGGGAAGCTGGCAGTGTGAGAAAACAAAGAATTTTGTACAAATCTCTGCCTGACGGCACAGTGTTTTCTCTTTCCTCTTTTTCTGAATCACTGATCACTAAATCAAGTAAACCTCTCCAGGTTTCATTTTTCAATTCTGTGTTTTTCTAGCTTTTCCCTTCCCAAACACCATTCCAGCCCATGCTCAGTCCTACGGGGCTCCTACAGCTGCGACTGCACCTGTGGGATCATGTTGTGCCCTTTGCCCCAGGGATCACTGCACGCTTGTGCCCCATCGTGTACCCAGGTAAACCATTGAGGGCAAACCTCCTGCCTGCCTTCCTGACCCCTGGTGACTGGTTTAATCCCTTCCCTCTAGGGGCAGTTCCCTCTGTTGCTTCCCCCACAGTGTCCACTACCCCTGTACCTTCTGCACTGTGATATGGGGAGCTTTGAAGTCCATCATGTAGATGTGCCCTACAAAGGGAAGGCGGAAAGGGGTGGGAGGGAAGTTTTTTGGATTTCTGTTCTTCATATAGTCAGCGACAAACAGGAAGACAACAAAGAAGATGAGGAGTGTATGGAAGGAGATGCTGTCCCAGAGGAAGTGCAGCATGGCTGGATGGGGGGGCTGTGCACGGACGTGTCCCACGGCAGGTCAGGGCAGGTCGAGCTCCCAGGGCACCACTGAATCCCCAGGGACACGGGGAGAGGGGTGATGTGCTGGCTCTGTGGGCACAAACACAAGAGAGCATGGAGCAGCTTTTGCTGCCCTGGTCTGGAGGCTGAGTTCAGACTCCTGCTTTGCCAGCTCTCAGCAAGGATTAAACCCCTTCTTGATTAAACCTGAGCATTTCCTCTGCTGCAGTTAAAAACCACAAACCACCACAAACCAAAACACCCCCAGCTGCCCCTTTCCCCTCCCGCCTCCCAACGCTGCTTCACCAAACCCCAGTGATCCACGCCTCGTGTAAAGGACAGAACTGAGCTTTGCGGGATCAAGATTAAAACCTGCCGGCAGCTCCCCTGCGCTGTTCCCGCAAGCCCCTGGCTCAGCCCAGCCCTGCTCTCTCATCCCCGTGCTGCCCTCACTGTGCCGGGTCCCAGTGTCAGCTCCACGGTGCCGGGGAGGCTCCAGCCGCTCCCAGTGCCTCGAGCTTTCCTCGTTGACAGGAGCTCGTCCGCTGCTTTGAAGAGTCCCAGACCAAGGCCCAGGTCGCCGGGGGCATCCGAGATAAGGTTGCACAAACCTTCCCAAACCGCCTGACTGCTTCCTTCCGGGTTCTGTGTGTCACAGTGACGCGGGCTGCCAGCAAAGAGCCATCCAGGCTCTGCAGCGGTCCCGAAGCACCGTCCTTTTCTCATCCCCGCGGGACAAGTGCAAGCAGAGCAACTTGCTCTGGCCGGGAGGTTGGCCCTGGCCGAGCCGTCCAGCCATCCCTTCCCAGACCTCCCTTGTCCTTTTGAGTGTGTAGCCCGTGGTGGAGCCGTTCCCAAAGCCCCACAAAGCTGGGGCAGGTGCTGAGAAGCCAAAGCAGATGCCCAGCTCTGCCAGCGGGGGCCCTTTCGGGGCAGCTGGCAACAGGCTGTGCTGACTTTTCCCCCTTGGATCGGCTCTGAGGCCGGGAGGTGTTCGTGCACGTGCAGCACGTGGACTTTTGCTGTCCATGTTGTGTTTTATTGTGAAAGCAGCAGGGGGGTTGCAGCAGCAGTTTGACATTGCACCACGTGGCTCTGCAGTTGTCAGCTGCCCCCTCGTGCTCTGGGGGACGTTTTGGGTGCCTTTTCTCCCTTTTGGGGCCATCAGTTGTGGCCGTTGGGGTTGTCCAGTGCCAATGAGAAGGCACAGAGGTGGAGCAGAGCCCCTGGGGTGATGCCATTCATGTGTTCTCCATGGCCCTCACACTCGGGAAGCTTGAACAGTTAAATCCCTTTTTTATGGTGGGACTTAAAGAGGGAAAACAGATCTTTTGTTTTCTCTTTGAGAAAGACCAAAGCACAACTTGAGAGCCTATGACTGTGACCATTAATTACAAATTAAAATAGGGTTCAAGTGGTGAGTTGGAAGGACAGCTCAGTGACAGAATCCCTGTGTGCCTGGCATGGCAGGGATGTGATGTGCAGAGGACTCTCCCGTGTGGCATAAATCTGCCACTGCACAGTGATTGCTTTGTACTGCAGCAAAGTGGATGTAAGAGGATGTGGATTACCAGGGATGTAGGAGGTAACCAGTGGAAATGGAACTCGATGTAATCCTCTTTTCCTGTTAACTGTTCTGTGTCCTACGTGGGTGCCCATTGAAAAGTCTTCTCTGAAAGGTGAGAAGCCAAACAAGAGAAAAAAGAACAATCTTTGCTGTGACTACACTGCAGACAGAAGCACCCAGGAGACAGCATTTCTAAGCCTAAATAGTTGGTCAC